TAATCATGTGACCACCCAACTTGGACGAAATGTAGATCAAGTTCGTTCGTTGTGCAACGTCCCTACACTGGCCACACCAATTTCAAACTCCACCGGAATTTGGTTAATTCAGAGCTTTACGGGTAATTGCGAAGGTACACTTTGGGTAGTTATATGTAACATCTAGTTCAATGACTAGGTGACGATGCATTGGTTGTATACAAGAAGAAATCGTGGGTCTTCATTGAATTGCACCAAATATCCTCTTTTTTGTATCGCTTTGCAACTAGTCAGCGTAACCGCATTCGTTAGCTTGATTGCACTTCACAGCGCAGCGCTAGCAGTTGGAGGGGTTTCAGATGTTTCTACTCTGTTAACGTCTGTGGTCCTCGCAACCTTCGTTTTAATGCAGTGCAGCTACTGAAAATGTCAACTTGTTCCAAGACCAAGACGTTATCAGCCGACATGCAACGATAGAATTTGCCTCTCATCTCTTCTCCAGTAGATAGCCCCGAACCATCTCGTTTCCGTGAGTGCCAACCTCCCAAACTCGTCTGCGAATGAAGCAATCGGCTCTCCACCCCTTCTGAGTGTTGCCAGTGAAGTATGGACGCTAGACACTTAACGAGTGCTACGAATTGTAGCGGATTTCGACCAGCTCGACCGGTTCGTCGAACGGCTTGGTGCAAACCAAGCTTGCGAATTAAGTCGTATGACTGTGAGCTAAAGTTATTCCACAATGTGTTCAGAGTGCGGTTGTCGATGACGCTTTCATTTACATGGACAAAGCAACTAACCAGCTTAATGTGGTAGTCTGAACTATAGGATACCTCAGCGCATCGTTCCAGTTTATCAGTGACAACGTGGCTTGTGACTCTGGTACGTTGCCACCGTTATAACCTTCAGTATGTGAAAGGACACGGATGCAAGTTGTACGCACAGCGCATACGGCGCATACTTACACATGCTTTTTATTCATTAGGCATCACCAGCCACCATGCCTGCATTGCACTCGCCCCTGGACACGCATTATGTTACGTTGCAGCTACTTATTCTCACGTGATATTGCACACCAAACGAGTTCGGTTTGTGCTGCATATACCTATCAAGGAATGATTTAAAACGAGCGATCTTGCACCCAAGCGCTCCGCTTTAGCAACTATTATCCGACACCATAAAACTTGCCCGAAGCAAATTATGCCAAGTCTAGTCAAGAAATTGTTTTGTGCACCCGGAACGGATGGACACTCAGCTGCAACAACACACGCTCTCGGTAATTAATCGCAAAAAGGAGCGAACTACGAAACGGTATCAATAAAACAAAATATAATTTGGTAAACGATAGGGACGACATCGTATTGCGAATCGGCTTGTTGGTTATTGAACGACAGTTAGGGTCTAACAAAAAATCCGATTGCTAAGGAATAACCGACGACTGTTAGGCATATGTACGACCGTACGTCAACCTGTATCTCTGCTTAGTGGACGAAGTTGACAAACATTCAGATAATGCGTTATGAATGGGGTGGCTTGCGTCGGCAACTATCTTTGATGCCTGCGTTTTACAAGAACTGGTGTGAATGCACAAAATTACGTTAACGAGGGTAGGGATTGGAACGCCGTTACATTGGGGTTAATTAGCTTAAATAGCTTAGCCAGTGGACAGAAAGAAATCACAGGAGAGCAGCACGTCCGGTGGGGAAGAACACATGCGCTGACAAAACGAAGTATCAAATCACGAGGGACAGAGTAGGCTCTCAGCCGAGAGGCGTAGAATGACCATCTTCTGACCTTGAGAATCTTTCATTTACATGAGGTGTCCAGGATAAATCGCAGTTCAATATTGAACCAAGGTACTTCACAGAAGAGTGCAATCCTTTACCGTGAGTACGGGACTTAGGGCACAGAGTGAGGAGCTGCTTATACTGAGCTCAATTGCACAACGAAAAAAGTACCTCATAGCACATTAATGCCTTAAGGGACAGATTATGAGATCATTCAGAATGGCTTGCAGCCTGACTGATCAAGCAGTGGACCGGTGATTGATACCCAGCAAGATGTCATCTGCGTACTTTAGAAGGGTCCATTCTTCATGGACTGGCATTGAGTCGACGTAAGTAGAAAAGGGAAACGGCGACAAAAATGCTCCCTGAGGACACCAGAGTTGGTGATTAGAGGTGAGGAGCATCTGCCAATAAGTCGGGTAATCTAAGTACGTCTAGAAAGTAGTCACCCGGAAAGTGAACGATGGATGGATGAATTCCGTCAAGGAGTAGTTGTTTAAACAGTAATTCGCGGTTGACACAGCCAAGTACGTTGCGGTGGTCAAGTGAACAGATTCGAATGGAGCATATGAATGTTGGGTGTTACCTACTCGAAAACACTGCGCTCCATGTGACTCGGTGGCTAGGTAGATAGAGGTCCCGGGTTCGAGGCCTGTTACCCTTACCTGATTTGATCATTTAAATGCGAAGCGCTTCGTGGAGTGCAGTGCTTTCAGGCGGGTCAAACCCAATACACATCTGCTTCGTCAGTTACGTTCCAAGTGATCGAACTGACCAAGGTTCACTTCACTGGGAATCGCGGTCCACATTGAGATTGCGTGTCGGAATCTATTCACACAGCGACTGCTTCAAAATGACCCTCCAATCAGATTCGAATGGACTTGTTTTTGTTGTCCAGCGACTGCAGCACAGAATGTACGATGCAAGTCACTGCGTCTAGAGCAGACATTGAACGACGTCAGACAAATTGAATGGGGTCATTCGAGCTGGTCTGCGAAAGCACCATTTCCAGAATGCTTTTCTCCAGTATCTTCATGGCCACAGAGCGTACTGGAACTGGTTGATACTTCCTGGTTACTTTCTTTGGCACCGATGCAATACTGACTTTTCTCCAGCAATCGACAATTTTGTGCCGCTCCACACATCGTATATACAGTAGCAAGAGGCCTTGCCAGACCATATGTACATTCTTCGAGGCTACCGGAAGATAGTCTATCTGGACCACTTGCTTCACAGGAACGTAGGTGCTTCAGTACATCATGCACGGTTACACTGTCGACAAGCGATATGGGTCTGCAGACCCAACAACTTAGACAACAGAAGGATCTGAGATTGTATTAGTGTTGTAATTATGGGCTGGGGCTGTATAAGTATCGCAGTTGCAGAACTCCTGGTACAGTTTCTCAACACCAGCGTCAGTATAGGGCGCACGTTGATTAACTTCGCTTAACTGTTTCAGCACTCTCCAGAGTTTAAGACAGCTACCATTCCCAAGAGTAGCCTGAATATGCACCTGGTTGAGATGTCGTAGCTTGGTACCAACAATGAGAGACTTCACTAAAGTGCCACCTTTCTTTTTAAACGCTTTCTCCTTAGGTCTCCGCATCCACTAAAAGAGAGATGAGAACCTGTCAGCATGGATGTTGATGGTTTCCAAGGATAGCAGATGCTAAAGCAGCAAATTAGATAACCTATCTAATTGTCACACTATTTGGTTACATCAAGGTTGAAAATAGGTCAACGTCTACAGATGCAATCATTATATGAAGTCTTTCAATACTTTGTGAAGAGCATTGCACCCACCTGAGCCTTCGATCATTGCAGCGAGCAAAATTCTGGTGGTTTATCTTGCTACATATAACAAGAGGAATCTTGATCGTAGTGATCAGAATTATCAATCGGAGCCTGTACACATACAGAGAACTGCAACGTTATTAATGAACACCACGTCCAGGGTTGCATCTAATCCGGTCGGCGAATTTACCATGTTCTGTAATCTGATTTTGGTGGGAAACGTGACACAGAATCCGCTAAAGTTACTGCTCAAACTTCATAGAGAACAGTCTGTATGCTGTATGACGGTTGCTATAAATATATCACGAAAGGTAACTGCTTCAAGTTCGGGATAGACAGGAGATAGATAAATTCTGGCCAAATTAGTGCGGTACCCAAACAAATACGTCGGTTTGCATTTTAAGGCCAATCAATCAAACATTGTGAATGGGAACAAAACATGCATCTTGTTGCAATACACCAAGAAGGATTATTGTAAATAAGGACTCGACTACCGCGGTTTCGGTAGGCACAAGCGCGGCCGATCCGGAGGCGGATAATTCCTCCGATCGATCTAACAGCTTCATCCACCTCTTGGTGGATGCAACAAAATGATGCCTAGCTACAAAACTTCTCTGGTACTGATGGTCATGATAGTTTATCCAGTATTCCTAGGACCGAACGGATCCTAACGCTAAGCAATATGGACACGCTCAAATCTCTCAATTTTTTCGTTCGAAGTGCAACCCTCCATCCAGTGTGATTTTTTATTGCAGAATTATTGCGCACCCTGTTTCTCATAATTCACAAGCGTGGAAACTCAAAATATCGCGTGTATAAATTGACATCACACTAACTGCAGAAACCGATGAACAAAACAGGAACGTTCCAGCAGAAGCTAAAGAGGGGGAGCCTGTGTGTTCACAATTCCGCATACAGAGATCGTAGAGCACGGTCAGATTTGAAGGCCGCGCTCAGTGAGTCTTTATGTGAGGTTACTCGGTGAATGCTCCCGGTGTTTTCACTCGTCCACAGCCCATTTCACGCCTGATTCCCATGCGTTGTGTTTTGGTCAGTAGGAGCCTCACCGCTTTCACCGGTACGCAGATGGACTCGGATTTGTTAAGACTGGTGGGGTTTTCTGAGATCGTGCATTCAACAACTCGGCGGTAGCGGTATTTGAACAGCCTAGTGTATTAATTTGCGATTGAGAACAATCCTTGTCAACCCTATTAATAAAGTTCATAAATGTACGAAGAATATTCCTTTCGACAATTCTCATTAGGTATTTACAATTATAGATCAAACTTAGAATACCAATTGGTTACTGAAAGCTAGATCAAAATTGAAAGGATCACAAAATCTACACAGCCTATTGGCTTAGCATGGCACCTCATCGATCCGCGTCCTAATCAGTGGGACAGAACAAACTCTTCAACTCCTTTTTCACCCTTTACCTTTCAGGTGCCGGTGAATCCGGAAAAAGCACCATTGTGAAGCAAATGAAGTGAGTTCTCATGGAATTCGTTTGTTTTTCAGTGGCTCTCAAATACACTCCATGCATTTCGAGTTAAATGAGATCTGCTACCTTCCGAGCCACCGATAGTGAATGTTCTCGGGCTATCCGAGATGGGGAGTGAATAATTCTCGCCGGCCGTTTCGCATGAACGTGGTCAGCCTGTCCCAGTAAAAGTGGTCCCGTGTGCGTGATTAGTGGAGTGAAGAGAAATTCCATAACTACTGAGTGAGTGAGACCATCGGAGGGATGGACAGGCAAGCATTAGTACGCAGTGGCATCTTTTGCATTGGAGACGCGGTTATCGACTCAGGACATTGGTTACGTTGACTGGGTCACGTGTACATCACGTTCTGACACAGGTAAATGCACGCTCAACAACCATTAGCATCGTCTCTAGGGTCAAGCGCGAGAGCGACCATTACGGACGCGACCGAACGTGACCGGTTCGAATGCGCTGGGGAAATCGTGTGCGCTGCACCGTTAGATTCTGAGTGGAGCAGTGGATCTGGCTCCGTCCCACCCACCAACTCACTGTAGGGTTAGGGTCGTGTTTCATTGGGGCAGAACCGTCGATTCAGTCTTAACAACAGCCCGTGAAGGCGTACATAGTACTTACTTGGGGTGAATCATGACGACAATTGTCCAATCAGCCATTGCTCCATGCTCCTGTAACTAATGGCTGAAGCCACTGGCTTACTGTCGGTGCCAGCTGCCAACGTGACACAAGAGCTAGGAATTGTGTACTGCGGCTTTACCTCTACTGCCATGTGCATCATTGTAGTGCGAAAGGTAGTCGGGTAACGTGACAGGGTGTTCCCGGCTTCAAATCTATCACCGGGTTTGGGGAGCGGGTATTACTTTCCAGTCGCGAAGAAATACTGTGGCCCAATTGCTACTTTACTAGGCCACACTAACTAGGGTGTGGTGGGAGGAGACCTAACAAATGTTTACGGGAAGTAGAATGGGAATATAATGCTTGGAGTTAGTCGAGAGAAGTACGAATGACAAATCTCCCGACATAACACATTAGACATCGACCTCAAGAATTCGCAAAGGGGCAGTCGAGGGACCTACTTACTCTTTGCAGCTTAGCAGATGTGGCAGCTTCAGTGATCGGCTTGTAAACTATCCTCCACAGGTGCCTGGAGCAGTCGGAGTTCATGGCTTGTGAATGATTCTGTGATCTGTCAGCACAGTAAGCGAATTACACAAAAGTGACGTCCTAACCTGTGACTCCTCTTCAAATGCATGTATGAGACAGTTGTAAGATGGGAGGCGCATACAACCGTGCTAGCTTCCCCCCGTGCTGGCTGAAGCCGTGTCGATGATGACTTGATGCGAGTTTCAGTGAAAGGCATACTTCGAAGCTTAACGAGCGACCGCGTTCAGGAAGGATATGCACCGGTTTCTACATAACATACTTACTTGTACATTAAAACATTCAAGACATAACGGTGAGTTACGCAATGTTATAGCTAATGTCATCAACATCAAGAAGTCTGCCAACTCATCGTTTGGCATAGTTTCACGACACGATGTTCAAGTTCACACGTCTGCTATGACCAGGAAGGAATATTCAGACAAAGGTAAGGAATTGCACCATGTGGCTGTAAAATTAATCCATATTTTGGATTCGTTACATAGAGCAGTTCTGCTCCTAATTGTTTTTCTCAAATCCGGGGACCATGGTCTGTACTACGATAGATACGGAAGTGTAGACTGGCATAGAAAGAGAAATGCCTGTTACTATGACACCAAAACTACGTTTGAGCAGAGCAATGGGGTGGAGAAAATGCCAATACGTCAACGCGTTGATAAGATGGCCTAATTAGAATATAAGAATGGGGACTCAGTTTGTTTCCACATATCTGTTTCCAGTGCCAATGTGGAGTGGGTGCAACCGAGTATAATCAAGCTATAGCATAGGAATAGAGGCTGGAGTTCAACATTAGTTCGCCTTCTTAACTTCAGTGTGAACATTGAGGCTGCTGTGTGAGGGGTAGATGCGAGTGAACAGAGGGAGGTTGGAGGAAGTTAAATGAAGACAGAATCGTGAATCTGAAACACGTCAGTGCGTTTGTCTTGACAGAGATAAACAATGAACAATGAATTTATACCGGTTAAGAAGCGTTGCTTCACAAGTCCCGTTGGATAGTTGGTGGGAATATCGAAATAACAATAATTGTAAGCGACAATTCGCTTGGAAGTCTTGAGGTAAGGCGTCTCCACCGGTTACAACAAGACAAGACCGGAACTGGAATGCGGTACCATTACAAATAATTAAAAACAATAATGTACAATGCCTCAATAATCCATGCTTCCGAACATAGACGTATCAAACTATGACAGCACTCCAAGGTAGCCAGGAAGCTGAGCTTCAAGTTCATGCACAATAAACCCGTATCAATGTACTGTAGCTTTAACAGGCTTACACCAAAAACAAATGTGGACCTAGAACCGAGCCTTGCGGCACACCACACTCGACTTGTATGGGGTCCGATAAGGAGCTCCGAACTCTGGCCAATAATTGCCATTGAAGTAGAAAGTTGGCAATCCAGCTTAAAAGAGGGTCGTCGATCCCGTACTGCTGAAGCTTTTAGAGTAGTATTCAATGGTCTAGACGATCAAAAGCCTTCGAAAAATCCAGGTAAATCACATCAACGCCTTCTCCAGCGTCAGCTGCCTCGGTTCAACTACTGCGTGCGATTAGTGAATTCGTGGTGCAGGATCGCTGTTGACGGAAACCGTGCTGCTCAGGTGTGATGGTGTTACAGTTTTCTAGATAACGCACCAGTGCACCGGCAGCTGTGGATTCCATGACCTTGGAGAATATAGGAAGTAGGGATACTGGGCGGCACTTGGAGGAATCAGTTCTTCTTACACCTTTGTGAATTGAGGTTATTATTCCAAGCTTCCACATGGCGGGAACTTTATTCTGTTCTAAACAGCGCTGGAAAAACTGAGCTAAAGGTCTTGCCAATTGGCTTGCTGCTGCTTCCACTGCCTCTGGACGAATGGTGTCGACACCCTGCGAGCTATGTTTGAGTGGAGACGTCAGGTTTTGCAATACAGCCTCCGCGGTAAAAGTGATGTGGGTTAGTCCTAGCGAGGAGACAATAAAGGTTGGAAGATCGCTTGGTGGCAAGACCCTTTGAAACGTGGGGGTATATTGCATCCGCAGCGTGTTTATCTGCTTCCACAGCCGTTCCTGTTGGGCCATCAGCCGTCCTGAGTGGAAGAATTCCTTGACTCACCTTTCATAGGCTATTGACGTGCTTGTACAGCAGTTTGTGGTTAGCACTGAAGGTTTTTGCGATGTTCTGCTTATATGCGGCTTGTCTTCTCTTAGCAGTTGAGTGCAGTGGTTACGTTGGGCTACATAGTTGTCCCAAGTTTCTAGTGCTGGAGCTTCTCTGTACACTCGCCATGCTGCGTTGCGTAATGTCATCCGCTTTTGAGTTCTGCTCCTAACGAAAGTAACTGAATCGCACTTATTGCAAACTCTTATTTCTGAAGCCTCTGAAATCAGCTGACTGAATTTGTTGACGAACTCGAGCCAGGCGACTTCCGGGGGTTCTTCGTCAAGAAACAACCAAGTTGTAGCGCTGACGAGCTGGGCTAACCGATCGTAGCTTGTGATAGTTCGCACAGTCTTGTCGTTCTCATTCCGATATTCCGCATAGCAAACGAAGTTGAAACTGATGACTGCGTGATCACTGCGACCCAACGGGAAATCCAAAACCAACGCATCAATCATATGCTCCTTGTTGATAAGCACAAGATCCAGAACAGATGACCTGTTACTTGTTCTGAACCGAGTGGGCAGTGACGTGATTGTTAAGAGGAACAGTGGTTACATGCTCTTGTAGATCGACTTTGCATTTTTCTATGATCGTGGCATTATTTTCAACACACTGTACGTAAAAATCACCCATGATAAGTATGTGAGTGTACTTTCGCTGTAACCTGTATCTTAAAGCAATCACTACTTGTCAGTCGGTTTCGGGTGTATAGTTGGAGGGCGGTACACCAAGACAATAAGGCAAGCGTCCCTGCCTTTTAACTGCAACCGGCACCAAAGAGAGTGGGGGAACTGCGAGTCTGAATCCGTCACGGCTTCGTACTGTAAGTCGCTGTGGGTTGGTTGGCGTTCTGTACTTTTCCAACTTTGAGAGCGACGCACATCGGTCAAGCGAGGGTGGTGGTTGCAAGGTCAATGAGCGGTCGGTGTGGTCGCGCGGTCCGTGTGATGGATTATGCTGGCGCACTGGCTGACAAGGCCACAAGCAATGGCGAGTGACTGGAACTTGTCAACTGAACCTGAAGACAGCGTTGAACACAGATTAAGAAATCAAAAATTCTTTCACAGTTGCGTTGAGAAACGCCGGATCCGAATAGGCTTGGGCTTTTCGGACTGCCTTGAGAATTCTGTATCGAATGGTGTCACACAGAAAGGCAATCGGCTCAATGTGATTAAGTTATCCGCTTGCGATTAATCACGAATGCCAGTGAAAACGGTTAGTGATGGCACGGACTTTAATCGTAGGAGATATTTCTACGTTTGGTGGATCACTGTGTAGAGCTGGTAAATCCGGTTCGAATGAGCGTGCAGTGACAATGCTGCGAGAAGATGGAGAGAGGATAGAGAGGAATAATCCAAATGAATCAAGGGCACACACATCACGTGTGTGTGTGTGTGTGTGTGTGTGGATGACATAGTATTTCCTAGGTGTCGGAGTCTTACGTGATTTATTCTGGTCTCATTCGAGAAATAGGCCTGGGCTTTTCTAATTTTCTCAAATTTCTTTCACACCGAAAGCCAGGTTGGTCAGCTTAGACCGAAGTACAGTAGCCACAGTTCATCTAAATGATCGGACGGAGTTAAAGAACCATACGTTGGAGGCGAAAGTGGAAGCGCATTTCACTAAATCTGGACTTTTCCAGTAGTTCCATCATCGCACATTGCAACTGAAATGAATTCACAATCT